TGATCAATCTTAACCATTCCAGATGCTTTTTTTGTGCCTTGCTGGTACGGAAGACAAAAAACAGTTCATAGAACCAGAGATTACTGAATTGGAAGGGACCTCGAGGATCATCTAGTCCAACCTCGTTCTCATGGTGGGCTCCGTTTCTTGCTAGCAGCGAATCCAGGAAGATCTGCTGGGGATGGGACTCTGGTCCCTTGCAGGTTGGCACTAGAGCACCTGGTTAAGCTAGGAGGCAGCGGGCAGGTTTGGGACTGGTTGTTTCGTTCACCTCTGCTTTCATCGTGATGATTAGCGTGGGTTGGGCTCAGCTGGCAGAGTTATCTCAACAGAAGGCCGGCAGGAGCGGTTGGTGCTCTTGTTGGCGTTGAAGCAAGGCTGATGTTTCTCCTTTCTCCTTGCTCTGGCAGAACGCAGCCAATGCGGCGCGGGAGCTGGTCATCCAGAGGCTGATATTCGTGGGCAACGCGTGTGAGAATGAGGAGCAGCGGTTGCTGGAGAAGGTGCACACGGAGGAGGAGCGAGTGCACCAGAGCATCCTGACCCAGCGGGTGCACTGGACCGAGGCTTTGCAGAAGCTGGCTGCCCTCCGCACCTATCTGGTGGACGTGATCACCAACCTGGATGACCAGGACTTGGTGGTGGGTACTGCTTCTTGTGCCGAGGGACAGGGCAGCCAGCCCCGAAGGGACCTAGACTTTGTGTTGTGGCTGTTATGGGATGTAAATATGATGTTCAGCAGTTTGCCGCACTGACAGGGAGGAGGCAGAGTCCGTCAGGACCTATGTTTGCCGGTGTAGCTCAAGGAATCTCCTCCACCTGGTCCTGACGTGGCTTCTCGGTCATTCCTGGAGCTATCTGCTCTGCCCAGTTCTGCTTTTACTTGCAGTGAGGTTCAGAAACACCCAACCTCAGGTGTCCAAGCTCTTGGCTTGAAGCTCCCAGCTCAGGAAAGCTATGGGCTCAGAGCTACTCTTACAGCAGTTAGTTGGGCCACCAGTTCTCTAGCATTCTGTCTAGTTTTAATCAAAACGTGACCCTTGGGAGCATCTGCAGCTCCTCTTGAAGGTTTGCTCTGTTGTCTGGCATGCCTGTGTTTGGGATGTTTACCATGCAAAGCAGCCTGTGCTTCCCTTCACTCAGCTCCTTTTCTGACAATTAAATTGTCTCCATTTACCTGAGTGATCCCTCTCGTTGCAGCCACGAGCGGGTAGAGTCCTGGGTTTAGCTAAAAACCCAGTCCTGTTTAGTGATTTTTACTTTTCAGTTTAGTCTCTTCCAAAAGGCTGCACTTTCTGCATGGCACCACCTTGCTCTGAGCCTCCGCTTGCCACGTGGAGCTTTGTGAGGTGGGGGGCAGCGGCTCTGCTTGGAAAACAGAACCGATCGCACAGGCAGAAATTGGATGGCTGTTCCTTTGGTGGGAAACACAGCCTCTGTCCTGCCCCAGCATCTCAGCCGAGCTGTGGCCTCGCTGTAGAGAATAGAAATTGGAAAGCAAGATCCAACAGAGGCCTGTGGCAGAAAACAGCAAGACCCTTGATTTCTCCTTTTGCCGCATAGTGGAGGAGAAATAGGGATCACACGTCTCCACCTTGGATCGCTGGTGTTGGCCTTTGTGTCTGCCAGGAAGGTGAAAGACACGTAGAGCCCCTCGCAGCCTGTATTTGAGCAGAGATCAAACATTTTCCTACCGCTTTGCTAACTGGGCTGTACCTTGAGAACGCGCTGCTGCCAGTGGGTGCAGAAACAAGTGGGACTGCTCACCAGGTTATGGCTTAGGTCCTCTGCAGCTTCACCCCTTCCTGAAAGCTGAGGAGGTTCTTGCAGCGTGTCCTAACGGGATGGGGGAGGAGGAGGGGGTTTCAGGGCTGGGGTTGTCCCACTCTGGGCAAGGCAGGGTGCAGCAGTCAGAGTTCCCAGACGCGGACAGGCTGGTGTCCGCCAGAAGGGATGGAGTCAGAGCTGGTTCTTGGAGGGTCCAAGGTTTTCCAGCTGCCTCAGCTCTTCCATGTTTCCCTCGTGCCAGACACCTCGACCGTACTTGTGGTCTTCTGCTCCCACACCACGCAGCAGTGGCTATGCGTGCTCCCGTGCTCTTCTCGAGCAGTTTGTCACCCCATCCCCCTGGCACAGCAGGCATTACCCCCAGCTAGATGTAGAACATGTATTGCCCTCAGCCATTCCCACTCGTTGTCAGGAGGCTGAAAGCGCTGCAGCTGAGAAAATGAGCATCAGATGCTTCCGCTGCTCCCTGGGGCCGGCGTTGGGGCAAGGAGTAGTTTCCCCGGGTCGGGAGGGAGAACGGTGCTCCCTGGGCCCTGGGTTTGCTCTGCCCCAGCCTGTGTTTGGGATTTCAGCTGTGGTGACTCTTTCTTTCTCTCCTTGTCTCCAGTGTGCAGAACAAGAGATCTTCGAGAGGTTGGTACCTGCCTGCTCCCAGTCATTTCCCTGCTCCAGGCTTGCCTGCCCGCTCCAGGGCTGCTTGTAGAGAGCAAGAAATCAGCCACAGCATGTCACCAGCAGCCAGTGCCAGAGCCTTTACTTACAACCAGCAGTTCGTGCGTGTGCTGCAGGCCACAGGAACGCAGCAAATCCTCACTGCTACGCTGTACAAAACCCAGAGTCTCCTGTTGGGTCCCCCTTTGGTAGCGAGGCTTTGTCGATGAAGAGGGAAATCTGACTCTGGCTGCAGCCTGTTCATTGTGCTCCTCTTCTACCTTCACAGCCGCTCTCAGACGTGTTTAATCTGTGTCTGCTGAGTGAGGAGGCTGTTGACTCAGCCTGCCGGGATTGTATTTTGAAACACTGAGGTCCTTTCAGAAGAGACTGTAATCAAAGCCAACCGAAAGTATCACTTGGGAGGAGAGTTTGTCCTCCAGAACCCCCCCGGTGCAGTTTCTCTGCAGCAAGTGCTCCTCTTGCAACTGCTCCCGCAGCGTTTCTGCCATACTTCCTAGTGATCTTAATTGTCCAGTAAATCATCACGTTTTGAAATAACTCCTGCGTTCCTTTGCTAGGACAGAGCTGGCAGAGGGAATCTTGGAGCCGCAGGAGTCGCAGAAGTTAAACTTTAATCAGACCTGCGTTCAGAGTCCACTCCTGCATCGGCTGTGGGCCTCCGCTGTTCTCTGCTGCGTCGCAGGTCAGTGTCTTGCTCAGGTCTCGCGTTCTCTGTGAATTCCTGTGTGCTCATTCGTGTTGTGCCCAGGGGAGCATCCTGATGCCGTTTCAAAACAACCTGATGCCCAGGAGGTGGGGACCCTGCCCTCCTCTGCTCTCCCAGCCCCTGCTGGTTGCTTGGAGCCCACCAGACCTGGGGGCAGGAGCGGCTGCAAGAGGTTTGGGAGGGGGAATGGGGGCTCGAAGCAGCTGGTTGTGGCCAAGAGGAGAGCAGGGGTTTGAAGACCGTGTCTTTTACCAGCTCTGTTGGTGAACCTCAAGTGGTTTCTTTTGCTGTTTCCCGGGTCACTTGGTGACAGCAGTGATGCTGCTGCCACCGTGGGAATCTCACAGAAATTCCTCCTCACTGCGCGTAGTGTCGGCCCGCTGGGGATTTTAAAAGAGGGCGAACTCTTCCACGTGGCATCTGCGGGACACTCTGACATGCTGGAATGAGAAGTGGTGTCAGTGCTGGAGCTTTCCAGCCACAGGCTGAGGTTGGGGCTGTGCACGAGCTGGTGGTTTGTTCGAGGTTCAGCTCGTGCCCAAGGTTTCACCGGAGGTGTCTGTGGAGCCAGTGATGTGCTCTGGGTATGGTGTTACCAGGCTGGTGTTGGCTCTGCCAAGAGGAGAGAGATGTTTTTCTTCCAGCTGTGATCTGCTTGAATTGCTGATTGTAAAGTGTTTGCTTTTACTCTGGCTTCCAGGCCAGCGTTGGAGCGTTTCAGATGTATTTTTTTGTTCCTCAAAGGTGGCAATATCCGTCACAATTTGAAAACATTTGTCCTGTGAGCCTGAGCAATGCCTGGGGTCCTCTTCCCAAATTTTTTGCATTAACCTTTGATGTCTGCTCATCATGCTTTTGATGCTGATGAGCAGTTCACAGTTTTTCCCTATTTCCAGGTCCAAGCGCTCCCAGCTTTTTGCTACTCTTATGTTTCCCAGCATTAGCTTGAGAATCTGTGTGTACTGTGTTAATTCTGCTGCAAACTCTGGTGTCGTGCTCCCTTTGGGATTCATTTCCCTCTGGAGCCTCTGAGTGCTGGCAGTTCTGCAGACTCCTGCAGTCATTCACTGGCAAAGTTGAGCAGGTTCTCCGCAGGTGTGTAGAGCTGTCCTGCAGGAAACCTTTCCCTAATTCTCTTTGTTGTGACGAGTTTTTTTTTTATGGATTCCCAATAGCATCCTTGTCAAATGTCATGACATTTGATCCTAGTAGTGGGTCTGTTGATGCTATTATTACGTTTTGGTTTGTTCTGGGTTTTATTTTTGTGGGTGTTTACATTTAATATGTCATTACTGCACGCCGTGGATGCTGGCTGTATCTCACTAATCCATCGTGCACCTAGGACCTAGCCTTAGAGATTTAATGTTAACTGCAGTGGTCCTGGCTTTCGTTAAGACACAATTATGTTTCAATTGGTGCTCCTTCCTCCCAAAGGCAGCTGAACAAGTGGCAGTCTTGCTTATTTGCTTGAAAAGAGAGAATTCCTGCCTTGACAGTGTTCCCTGTATCGTCTCAAAAGCTGGGAAACCAGTGGGGAGAAGAACCTCCGTTTCACTCTCAAAAATTCATGTGGTTTCTTTGATGTCCTCACTTGGCATCTGGGCTTCTGTATCACTTACATTTGGGGTTGGCTGCTTCTTCTTTAAACCAAGCAGTGATTTAAATGTCCTGGTATCGTTCACGGCCACCCATGTTAGCCCTGCTGGGGTGGGCAGCACCCTCCACCCCTGCTGGAGGATGCTCTGCAGGGGTGACACAGCTGGAGGAGATGTCGGGCTGCTCCGCGGTGACTCTCTGCCCCAGGGACCACGCTGGGTCTGGATTCCACTTTGGTGTCTAAGTCTGACGGCGAGGATTTTGATTTCAGATGTGTAAGCTTGGACAAGGGAACTTGGATTTTTAAAAGTAGTAAAATGAGCTGCAGCTAATACGGTCATACTTGACGGCGGTGTTAACCATGTTCACTGGCCCACTCAGCACCCCTCATCTCTCTGAAGCGGTGACGCCGCTCTGATGGGTGCTGTGCACAGACAAGATAAGTTTGGGGGGGAGGTGAATTCCTGGTAGAATCATTCATCAGAATATATGGGATTATCCAGAGGGCAGATTTAATCATGACAAAACACTTGTCTGTGTGTGGAAATTTGCTGAACTGCTCTGCTGTTACTCTGCCAGCGCTTCCCCTCCCTCAGAAGCTCCCCTGTAACCATAATTCCACAACGAAACTACGGGGGTGTCGTCGGGCTGGTATTTCCTTGTGCAGATGATCCCAGTGCACAAACACCAGGATGCAACCCCGCACCGAGGTTAGAAGCGTGTTGCACAATATGACGTTTAGTGCCCGTCTTCTGTCAGAAGAAGATAAAATCTTGTTACTGCTTCATTTTCTATGAATTCGTAGCAGCATTTGGCTTCCTGGAAAGCTGACTTACAGTGACAGACACCTCCGGGGAGGGCACAGCGTGATGGGCAGGCATGCTGCGAAGCGTTTGGCTGTTTCTCAGTGAAATATAAGGTCAAACAAATGAGGTTTGTCTCCTCAGCTGGAAGGGGATGCTGTCTCCAGCTCCTCTGGCTCTCCCACAATAGCTCCTACCCAACGTGCAAGAGTGCGTGGCACTTCCACACTGTGCAAACTGGTAATTCAGCCTCGGTTTGTCTTCTGGCCGGGAGTCGCAGGGCAGGCACCATCCTAGGAAACCCCTCGGTCAGCGCTGGTGCTGGTGGGCACAGGTCGGAGGGATGCTCACCTGGCTCCCTGTAGATGCTTGAGCTGGTTGGACTCTGGGACGATGCCATTCAGGGTGCAGTGTAATGGTTTGGCTGAAAGGGGCATGAAGATGGTTAGAGGGCTGGGGCACCTCTGCTGTGAGGGCAGGCTGAGGGAGCTTGGAAAAGAGAAGGCTCCGGGCTGACCTAATAGCACCTGCCAG